AGACATCCACCACCTTCGAGGTCAGTTTTGACGCTAGAAAAGCTCAGACATCGAAGAAACGAGTAATAAAGGGATCACTCCTTACCCAATTAAGTCGTAGACGCCGATCCCTAAGTATACGGCTGTCAAGCTTGTTAGTAATGGCAGATTCAACATGTAATCGAAAACTAGGGTGTCTCGAAAATGAGTGTACTTAAGATGCCAAATGTATTCAACAAGTATAGCTTGGAGCTGAGTCTTTGTTTTGTAGTACTTCGGACGATGTGCTACAGAGTCGTTGAAAGATTAATGCTTAGGGCTGTATTGTGGTGGAAGAAAATCTTACTGCACGATCTACCATGAATAGATAAATGAACTGTCAGGCATATCAGCGACCAGAACAACACTGCAATGGTGTCGGATGCTCACAATCTGTCGGAAGTTAGCTCATAAGTGAGATAGCATTAACGATACACAGAGCTATCTCCACTCACCTTTGTTATAAGATATAATGCAGCACATATAATGGCGCTAGCGTAGCAGATGACATTGCTAGTACCATTGCCAATGCCGAATTGAAAAATGAGTGAGGACCAAGAGTACATCAAAGACGATACATAAATGAGAAACACCAGCCAACCGATCCACGGCACAGTTTTCCACGAATTGACCGCCAGAAACCGCTGTGTCAAAAGGCTGGAGATGATACAAGAAGTGATCAACTGGATCGTGATGCTAAGTATTTTCCCAAAAACGGGAATTTGGTACCAGTTTTGCAACTCTCCACGAGTAAAAGTTCTTGAAAAGGATGCTAATGGCATTTTGATCCACAAACATACGTAATCTGAAGATCAGAGCCTTCAATATCAAAGTGAAGTTTCATTTATTATTCAAACCCGTGTTTAGTCAGGAAAACACATTTTATAATTCACAGTCTCGTTAATGTCAAGATAGATATCCTGTTGAGGTTTTCTTGATTTAGGCGCCTTAGCGTCATTGCCGTTGTAAAATTCCGTCTTCTGCGTCATAGTTGCATACCTCTCGGAGCTCAGAAATGTATAAGTTCTTAAGCTTTTGTTGTGTAACCCAATGACTCAAATTAATCTCGTACTTCAGTCATTTGCGGCTGCATGAAGCCTGCCGTCTTCGTAAAAAATTGTGAGAATATCACCATGAATCTATACTGGATACAATAACTATGTATTGCGATACAATCGATATAACATTGAATATAATTTACTTGAGACTGAGGTACACGGAATATTTCATGCACGCACTATAGTATCATCGAATGTCGGATCTCACCATCAGTATGAGCAAGCTTGCGACTTGCTGCCCATTGATCGACACTAAAGTTCCGGATAAGTAGACCAAAATGCATCACCAATAAATTCTGCACCGTGAGGTCAACCACGTCCCTATGAGTTGCGTATACGGGGTATTGCTTTCAGTTGTTTTTCGGCCCTAGAAGTTCACAGCTCCGCATAATTGCAGCCATTAGTATCATGATCATTCAAGAGCTAAGTATGTAAAAGCAAATTATAGGTCTCATGGCATGTGTTCAAATGCACATCCTTCGATTTCTGGTCCCTGCGATCTCTCTCATTGCGAGCGTTCCAAAGCGCATAGACATCAAAATCCCTTGCCCTTCGCTGGCGATCACCCTACTTAAAGTCAGCCTTAAGGCAAAGGCTTGTACCAGTACAGAATCAATCGCCAAAAGCCATGGCTACGTGTCTCGGCCCATATTGCCGTGGCAGAGCACGTAGACTGCAAAGAGCTGACCGCCACTACCGTGGAACAATATGTAAGCAGTGGGGATGCAACGTATTGGGGGGAAAAAATCAATGTTCACATCCACAGACAAGCGACAAATCACCTTTCGATTATATTCGCTTCGAGTAACAATTACCGCACCTCGTAGGGATATCGAAACCCCATCCCCTTAAAAAGCAAACAAAAAAAACATTCGAAGTCGTGAATGTGAATTTGTCGTCCTAATAGTCAGCTCTGCTCTCGTGGATAAGAGGCAGTGACTTTTAACGTGGCTAAGCACTCTCTGGCAATTTCTACGGATCGGTCGCAGTCCTTCTCAGAATATGTACCAAAAAGGGAAAACCCAGGGCGCTCAGTGATGGAGTCTGACGCAGCCCGAACATCGGGTCAAAAAGGGATTTGAGACTCTCAAGGACGCCTTTTATTCCGAGTTCAAACAACCACATGATGATCATGAAGTTCTTAAAAGCTTGGATATGTCAAATGGTGAAGAAAGAAAGACAAGCCCCAATTGCGTAATTTTTTTTTCCCCTTGTCTTTCTGCTGTCATCGCATTGTGGATTTGTTGTCGTGACTTGAGTTGGGAGTGAGACAAGCAGCGTAGTGAGATCTGCCCTAGGTCAAATGAGCAATACAAGATCACCTTGACTCCTGAAACACGTCGCAAAGTCGAGATTTTCTATGTTGGGTGTGTTCCGCTTCTTCCACACGCTCTCCATAATATCGCGTGCCTTGTAGACCGTACCAAAGACACTTGGCGGCTGCAGTGTGTTGACCAGCCCGCGCAGCTGTTCTTCTTGCGCATTGGTCGCCATGCAGCCGGCGACGCAAAAGGGCCAGACCATGGAGCGCAGCAAAGCTGGTGATGTTATGTGGGCTGTGAGAGCTTCGATTATGTCGTCGACGGAGGCTCGAACGACGGGCATGCTGGGCTGCCACCCGTGTCGCACGACGGATAGATAAATCAAGGCCGCGTGCGCCCAGACGCGAGGGACTAATGAGTTTTGCCGAGCATGTGCATGTGCTTTCACGCAATAGCTTTCAGCGAAAATGTCGAGGAGATTCTCCTCCTTCTCCTGCGGGGTAGCTGAATATTCATTCATATACATGAGTCGAGTGCGCAGTGTGTTTTCAATCAAGTCGGCATTGCGCTCAAGCTCAACATGATCGAGTGTTCCGGCCCTTTTACACTCTTGCTTCCATGAGTCGAGAGAGGCAATCTTGCCAATTTGAAGCAGTACCAAGTTTTGACAGCCTACCACGGCTTCAAGATCAATCGGTGGTTCGAGGCCATTCTCCTCACCAAGTAGACCGTCGAGCATATCGTGGAGTTTGGGAGGCTCCTGGCGGGCAGTACTGGCGATGATATCGTCGAATATCAAGAGAGCGGCCGAGAAGCGCAAGGCAGACTGCTCAGCACTGGGGACATTGATATTGAGAGAATTCGCGATCCAGGCAGAAGGTCCGAGACGGGCCATTAAAGTATTAAAGTCGGCGCCGCTTCTCCTCGGCTCCGTTGTTCCCAAAAGCTGTTTAAAGAGGGCCAAGGCGGCATTCAGGTGGGTTTGGCAGTTCTCAAAGCTCAGCACCGCCAGCTCAAAGCGCTGCACTTGCATGATGGAGGCCAGTACTCGTACGGAGCCAAAGATGTGGTCCGAGACGTCGCCGGGCCCTCGCATCACCTCCAGCGCACGCCTCAGCACCTCAAAGGCCTCCTGGGTTTGCCCGAGCACCTTATTACAAGGCACGTAGCGACCTGTTGTCTGCGCCAAGGCGAAAAAGTAGGAGCTCTGGCAGAGCGTTGCTTGTCGGACAACGGGGCTGGTCAGCACCATTTCGAGGATCCAGGATTTCCCGCCTTGTAGAAGTGAAGGGCGGTAGAAGGGGAACAAGAACGGCAATACTTGTTCGATATAAAATGTCAATAGTAGAGTGTCGAATGGTCCAACATCTGCTGCTTTGTATATCTTTTCTTTGGTGCTCTTGCAGCCAGAGCCACACGTCTCAGACTCCAATGCCCCATTGCCCTGAGCGCTGCGTCCCGAGGCCGTGGCGTCTACGCGCCGACGTTCTGGAAGAGCTTTTAAAACCCCAAGACTGGTTGGCTTCTCTGGTGGCTGGACAGGTCGGTCACCACGACGCCAGCGAGCTTTTTCCTTGACCTCGCGCTTCAGTCTTTCGGCCATTTGTTCCTGTCTCTTCCCACCATCCATCCAATCCGGCTTGTCATAGCTGTAGTGGCAAGTGATGTCCAAAGTGGTGCAGATAGTACAGGCGGGATGTTTCTCATCGCATTTCTTGCGCCTAAGTCGACAGGTCCAGCAGCCGCTGAAGCTTCTCACATTATTCTGAGTACCGTAGGGTGCGCCGACTTCCATGGCTGACTTCACCAGATCACGATTCTGCTTGCTGAAGTTCGGTTCGGTACAAGTACTGTAATCTCTCGATGCGTACCTTTTGACACTTGTTGGCCACAAAAATTGACATGTACCGTCACGAGAGTCTGTAACACTTGAATGCAATTATTGTGCCGCTTGGCCACCAGTCAGCAAAGGAGGGGTCTACCTAATGCACATACCCGGCTTACCTAGCGTGCATGCTTAGAAATACATATATACAATATTCGACAGACGTCAGCATGAGTATTCAATAACAGACAGCCTCGTTGCTTTTACATTGTCGTTGGATCTCGAGCACTCCTTGACCATATGAACGATATTTGCCAAGTCGTTGGGGCTGTATAGTGCGAAAAGTGAGTAAATGGGGCGCACCCCAAGACAATGTATATGTACCACCAAATCGCTTGGCTATACTTTCTATGGACATACTGGCCACACTTCAGGATTTTGAAGTAAGTAATGTCCTCCAATTCTGATAATCATCTTGCTCTCAATCTCCAACGACTCATCTCACGAGCCAAGTCTTCCTGCAGTAGAACTCGGTCACTACACTAGCACTACTAAGCAGTGAGCACCATTCTGGCTGACTATACTCTGGCCGAGTCAGATATTCATTCACATGACAAGCCAATCTCGTCCCCTACCTACCCAGCATCGAACATTCATTGCCTTGATCATATTGAGCTCGTCCCCTACCTTGTTATACAGCCGTCCGTACGTAATAGTGCCTATATCCCGTGATCTTCCTGCACCCACCTCCTTATATTCCAATATTCACGCAACTTCCATCCAATTATCTAACAGTGATTCAACGCATCGTCAACCTAGTCGGCGATTCAAACACCCGGGGATGTGGTCTAGTGGTATGACGTTTCCTTAGCATACTTACGAGGTATGGAAAAGGTTCTGGGTTCGATTCCCAGCTTCTCCACATTTTTGCATATTTTCCATCTTGTCTTGGATCGTCTTTTACCTGGCTTTCGTCAATGATACATGTCTTGTACTGTGATAAGAGCCCGCTCTTCAACAACAAATCAGTTGCTCGGCTAGCTCAGTTGGTTAGAGCGTCGTACTAATATTCTCTCATCAAGAATATCAAGTCATGCGAAGGTCCTCAGTTCAATCCTGTGGCTGAGCAATTCTTTTGCGGTTTTTTGCACCTTTGAACTTTTTGACTGCCTGTAATTTGTGACCTGTTTTTCACCAATTGGGCCTGGTGCGTGTGGAGTTCGGAGCGGAATGGTACCGACGTTACAACCAAACCCAACATCTATCATGGCATGCGGGACATGTCCGCATTACAACGTGCATAAAGGATCTAGAACTACTAAAGAACATGACATGACATGCCATGGCAAGACTTTATGCATACCGGATTGGAAAAAGATAAAATGATCATAGCAAGAATCATCAGACAGAACAATATCGCCAATGGCATTAGAGGTTTCTTTTATCAATGCCGAGGCCCAACCCAATTGGGGTAATTATAGTGGAGGCAAAAACCCCCTCGATTTCGGATTGGCCGGCGGACCGATAAACCTGCCGATCTGAACGAAACGCTGCCTCGGTCTCGCAACCTCTTTTTGTCTGGTCAAGGACGTATTTTGTCTGCGGGACTCCATCGTATCTGGCAATTATGGAAACACTTAAGAAGTCTGGAAGTCTTGCTTGTTCCACTCTTGCTTAGCAATCAGGGGTGGGTTTCCACGTGGGTACGATAGTACGGAGTACATGGTGCTCGAGCGGGAAGCTTTTACCGTACGTGTATATAAGATATATCAGAAACCAATTCGCATGTCGGGGTATAGCTCAATCTCGTTTCCAAGAAAACTCACAGATCATAACTATTTGAAATCACTATCCAATACTGAACTATCAACCAAAACAAAAGAAATCAAGAAAAAATGGCTCCCGTAATCCTCAACATTGCCTACCCCTCGGGCTCCAACTTCAACGTCGAGTACTACACGACCAAGCACATCCCCCTCGCCGTCGAGGGCTGGAAGCCGCTGGGCGGCCTGGTCAACTGGAAGATGTACACCCCGCTGGGCGACAATGCGCCCTACGCCGCCGTCCTCGAGGTCACCTTTGAGAGCATGGAGGCCCTCGTCAACGTCCAGACAAAGGCCCCCGCCGAGCTCCAGACCAAGCTCAAGGAGGACCTCCCCAACTACTCGACCAAGCCGCCTACCATGTGGGTCTCGGAGCTCAAGGCCAGCCTGTAAAAGGCTTGTAATAGCAGAACAGGAGGCGGCAGCAGGTGGAAGAACTTTTGTATAGAGAAGGACCAACCTTGATATGTCATGTCTTGAGAAGACATTTTTTTGGAGGATCGAAGAGTATCAAGTCTCAAAAGCAGACTTGATAGTCACATGACATTGGCTGTCCGGACGAGAGGGAAGCTGTTAAACAATCACATAACCGATTCAGAGAATCAGCGCTCGAATTGAAAATTTGCAATATTTGATTCAAATCAGACCACTGGGTTCCAAAACGTGCTTACTGATTGCAGTGCACCATTGACAATTGAGCGAAATGCTGTCATTGCGCATACAAAGTCCCTGTCTTGTCCGTGATCTTCGCCAACGACGAGAGCCCAGAATGCGGGGAAGCCGGGTTATCGACAGTGGTAGCCAAGACCACCATGGGCGCATCGTCTCAACATGTAGCGAGAACATGGACAAACAAAGCTCTTTTGAAATCACGATTTGTCCACAATTCGTATTCTTCTTCGGCTTGGACACGATGCCACCGTGGCTCAGTAGCTGGAATATCATAGCATCTCGTGTTTGTCTTTCTCGCTTCTCGGCGTCGGTGCTGTAGAAGTTCATGGCCTTGCCTCAATTGTGGCTATAGCCGTTTCGCATCATTCTATTGGTGGCATATTATCGGTTCCAATGGACAATATGAACTATTGATGGTTAAATGGAAAGACTGCAACATAGTAAATATATATCTGCACGAAATGTACTCTGCCTTGTTGACTTTCCCCTAATTAAGTAGAATTGGCCACTTGAATCCAGATACCCAAGTCTCCCATCTGAGTTTTCATCATGCGCGCTTCCGACCTATTTAGTATCGTGGCACTATACGGTGCCGCCGCCGCCACGCAGTACGGCCCGGCGCATCTGTCACGAGACAGAAAAGTGTGCGAGGTTGCTGCTTCGGGCACGAATGCGACCGACGATGCCCCTGCCATCCTCGCCGCCTTTGACGAATGTGGTCAAGGCGGCACCGTCTTGTTCACGGAGAACACGACTTACTATGTCAACACCGTCATGGAAGTGGCCGGCCTGCAGGACTGTCATGTAGACATTCGAGGAACTTTATTGGTGAGTCGAGACCACCTGTCCCAACTCTCGGCATGCATTTGGAAGGCTGCAGGACCACTAATTGTGCAATAGTGGTCGACTGATATTCAATACTGGCTCAACAACTCCCTGCCAGTGGGCTACCAAAACCAGAGTACAGCTTTCAAGCTTGGCGGCGACCGCGTCTTGATTGATGGCCACGGACATGGTACTTTTGACGGTAACGGCGGCGTCTGGTACCACTATGCCGCTGGCATTTCAAACCTCAAAGGCAGGCCGCACGCCTTGACCCTCGACGGTTTGACCAATTCGCGGGTAACGGGTCTGCAAATGTTGAGAAGTCAGATGTGGTGAGTTGTCGACTTCTTGCGGGCGCTCTGTTTGACTTTATAATTTCCCAGTCTTGCTGAGATTTGAACAGGACCTTTTCCATCATTCGCAGTCATAATTCTCTGTTTGAGAATATCTTTGTGAATAATACTGCCCTCGATGGCTCGTCTAGCGGTATGATGTTTGGTCTCGCGTAGCAGGTCTTGCACTGACCCTCAAGCAGGAAATACGGATGGCGGCGATACCTTCTTCTCATCCCATCTGACATTCCGCAACTGGACTGTCGTTAGCAAGGATGACAGCATCTCGTTCAAGGCCAACTCAACAGACATCACAGTGACTGATAGCCTCTTCATCAACGGCCTGGGTATTGCCATTGGCAGCATTGGACAATATAAGGACCAGTTCGAGACGATTGAACGCATCAAGGCGGACAACATCACTTTTAAGAACACGCTCCATGCAGTGCGTTCCCTCGGTCTCCGTGTCCGGCAAGCGATTCGTGATAACTGACATGATATATTGCAGGCATACTTCAAAACTTGGACTGGCGAACAAGTCGGTTACCCACCAAATGGCGGCGGAGGTGGTCTGGGCTGTAAGTGATGCCATCATGGGACCAGGCAAGGTTGCTTTGCCTGTATTCACTGCGTAGAATTGACTTTTGATGGCTTTACCCATTCAGATGCTACCAACCTATCCTTTACCAACCTCTACGGAACGTCATTTCGCGGTGCGCCGTTTAGCATTTCGCAGTGCACCACCTTCTCGGGCACGGCTGGCAACTGCACGTCGTCCAAGTTTGAGCTAAGGGACATCGAGTTTGCCAACTTTGGCGGGACGGCATCTTCGCTCAAACTGGCCAGTTTGCAGTGCAGCGGCGTGGCGCCATGCCATGATATTACCATTACGAATGTCACACTGACCAGTAATGGAGAAAGCTCACCACTTGAATATCTATGCGGGAATGTCGTGGATCCTATTGGATGGAACTGCACTGGCGATGCATGTGTTGGGGGTAGTGCTACAGGGCAGTGTTGAGACGCGACGGTAATCAGTGTACTCTTGTCATTGACAACGACTTGTTAAGAATCAATATGACCATGAGTCCTTTGAAATATCTGTGCCACGCTACCATGTTGACGTCCTTGAGATGGTTGAAACGCGTTGATCGTATGGCCTTCTCCAGTGATTGACGGCCATTTTATTACATCAAGGTGGGCCGACTAATCCGCATCTTGTTTGTAGTGAATGACGAGATTGGCAAAATGTTTCAGAACTCTGATACTGTGAGCGCCGATGTGTTATCGTAGATGTACATCAATGATCTGTAGTGGACATGGGAGCCGGCCAAGCCACCCGGTAATAATTCCCGGTTCTATGGCACTTCGGCCAGTTCCTAAATTTGGAAGCCCATCCAAGTCCACAGTGGTTAGCAGTACTTTATGAACCATGTAACAATAAAAGTCATGTTCGGCCCGCGCACGAAGGAGATCTTCCTTCAGCGGGAAATTATACCGTGTAGGAGAGAAGAACCAAAAAAATATAACAACAATTATTTACGGCAAGACAATCTTGATTTCTGCACAACGTCGTCAGTAGTGGATAGTTGTTGCATATTCGTGTGCCGATCCGGAGCAAAAATGTGTTTCATCAAGACAAGAAGAGAATGGCGATTGGCTACCAGTGGGGGGTGAGATGGAGGTCGATCAGGGTCGTCCGTTGCGAGTTTGCACCAATACGGACTAGGAGGAATATGTATGGAAATGGAAATCTGAATTGGACAAACGAGCAAGACGCAGCAGACTCGACGCAGACGGTTTGACGGGCAGCGGTTGAGTGGGCACACAAACGAAAATAAAAGCACAGACGGGCGGACGATTCAGTCCTGGCCTGGTCTTGACTTGCAAGCTTGGCAAGGAAGACATGTCAAGCGAAGCCAGAGTCTGGGATCAATCATGTTGCGACTGGCGGGTGCGCAGGTGCGGTTCTTGTTTCCAATGAGGTGCGGGCGGTGGGTGGAAACCGATGACGTCGTCAGAAGTGCCAAACCCCAGCCCGCATTTTTTTTCTCTCTTGGGGAAAGGATGATGGAGGGGTGTCTTATTTGTGGCTTGATAACGAAGTCTCCAAGTCTCGCGGCGGCCTTCTTAGATCCCTTTTTTCTTTCAATGGGAACCGGCTTCTTCTCGCAAGGTCATAGTGTCTAAATTTCTGTGTACATTACATATCATTCTGCATTGTCTAGTGCCTACCTAGGGTAGATCCAAGGCAGTTGGGCAACTCGACG